TTGAAAAATGGTTTGACATTTTATTTTGTTTTTTAAAAAGTTACAAAATACTTGCTTTTCATTATTCATGTATTCCTTCCCCTTTCTTTCTGGAGCAACTGTACTGCAGTCCTGAGTCACTCTCACAGGCTTGTACCTTTGCTACATCAATACATAGAATTAGGGTGTTCTAGAGCTTTTCCACAGATGGTGTTTATACCACACCCATCATTTTGCGACTTCCTCATTCAACTTACTGTTTCTGAGATCTATACCTGCACATGTAAATCTCTTGCATTTTGGTTGTCATATGGTGGTTATTTATCCATTGCCCTAAATAGTTGTGTGGATTTTTGTGTTTTATATAAGTATATTCTCCATGAATAGAATTGCTGAATTAGCAAGTATGTTTTCCCAAGCATTGGAACAGCTATTCCAGGTTGTCTTTAAAATGTTTGTATCGATTTATATTCTCACCGTAGGTGCATAGGTTAGTAGAATCTGAAACCACCATACTGTTTTGAAATTTCTTATATGTCCCATCATCAAAGAGGATGATTTATTTAAACAAAACTAGAACTTGAGCTAGGAAGATAACTCAGTCAGTAAAGTGCTTGTCTTGCAAGCATGAAGACCTGAGCTTCATCCTAGAACCCATGTTAAAATGCTAGGCATGGTGAGGAATGGGAGACTGGTGATAAGATGATCCCTGGGACTTGATGGCCAGCCAGTCTAGACTGATTAATGAACTCAAGGCCAGTGAGAGACCCTGTCTAAAAAAGAGAAGATGAATGGAATTCCTGAGAATGACGTCTAAGGTTATCTTCTACCCTTTTTTTCTTTTTTAAAAAAATTTATTTATTTTTATTTTATGTGTACGCGTGTATTGCCCGCATGTAGATAAGTGTACCCATGTCGTGCAGTGTCATCAGAGGTCAGAAGAGGCTGTCAGATCCCCTGGGACTGGACTTACAGACGTTGTTAGCTGCCATGTAGGTGCTGGGATTCGAACCCAGGTCTTCTGCAAGAACAACCAGTGTTCTTAACCTCTGAGCCATCCCTCCAGCCCCATATCTTCTATTCTTTATTTGCATGCACATGCACGAATATACACATACCCCCACATGCACAGGTACAAACATGTGCATAAGAAAAAAATAAAAGAACACAACTTTTTTTTTTTGAGACAGAGTCTCCCTCTAGCCCCAGCTGGCCTAGAACTCACTGTGTAGACCAGGCTGACCTCGAACACACAGAGATCTGCCTGCTTTTGCCTCCCAAGTACTGGGATTAAAGGCCTGGGGAAGCACATCTTTTAAAAAAAATTTTAAATTTATTTTTATTTTGTATGTATAAGTGTCTTGCCTGCATGTGTGTACGTGCATCATGTGTGTAATGCCCTCAGAGGCTGAAAGAAGGCATCAGATTCCCTGGAACTGAGATTACTGGTGGTTGTTAACTGTCATGTAGGGGCTGAGAACTGAACCCAGCTCCTCTGCAAGAGGCCAGTTCTCTTAACTGCTGAGCTATCTCTCCAGCCCAAGAAAATAAAATTTTATCAAGGATTAGATACCCCTTTTTACCCAAAAGATGCTAAGTCCAAAATACATTAAGTGGTTGGATCAAATTTTGTTAGTATGGAGAAGAATGTGAAAGAAACAAAAGTGAAAGCTAAGTTTTTCGGAAAGGATCGCATTTGGCTTTTTAAGTTTGTCTTATATCCCACGCCTTTAATCCCAACACTTGGGAGGCAGAGGCAGGCGGATCTCTGTGCGTTCCAGGTCAGCTGGGGCTACAGGGAGACCCTGTCTCAAAAAGACCAAAAAAAAAAAAAAAAAAAAAAAAAAAAAAAAACTTCATGAAGCCATTAAGAACCTGTCCTAAAAGCCCTCTTCTGCCCTCCGTGGGCATTGCATGCATGTGGTGCACTTATGTACATGCAGAAAAAAAGTCATATATATAAAAGTACATTTTAAAAAAGAATCTTTCCTAGCCTGTTATTCCTTATAAATATTTCTTTTGAAATTTTATTATTTGTTTGTGTGTGCATGATGTGGGAAGGAGTGTGCCGTGGAGTGCTTCTGAAAATTAGAGAGCGGTTTTATAGAGTCGGTAGGTTCTCTCACATTTACATGAGTTCCAGGGCTCAGACCAGTCACCTGGTTCGCATACAAGCATCAGTACCCACTGAGTCATCTCATTGGTCTTAATTCTGTGGTTGTTGTTCTTTAACTGCCCATGTGAGTGTATGTCATGCATGTGTGGGTGACCATGGAGGCCAGAAGAGGGCACTTGATCCCCTGGTACTGGAGTTACAGGTAGTCCTGAGTCACCATCGTGATTGCTGGGAGCCGAACTCAGATCCTCTGGAATAGCAGCTTGAGCTCCTCACCACTGAACCATCTCTCCAACTCCTAGTTTGTGATTTTTATCATGTGATTTTGATCATTCTTCTGGTATTGTGTGGCAAGTCTGGACACAGGAAGAAGGGCAGAAGGCTCAAGTCAGCTGAGTGCTGTCTCCCTTGTGATGTGCTCACCCATCTCTTTGATCATAACTGCATCATATCACCCGTAGCTCTAAGGTATCTGAGGAACCAAGTTCTTTTCTAGACAAAGCTAGTCTTCTGTTAGTACAGAAGAAGAGATTAGATATTGAGTGGGCAACTGGGAATGTCCTCCAATCTTACAAAGCATATTCAGTGTTTAATTACACAGCAGCCTGTTATGGTTGGTTTAGAAAACCTGTAACAGGTAGTCAGTAAATATTTGTTGAATACAGGAATGGTACAGTTTTGAAAATTCACAGTAATATCAATTCTTTTGAATCACCCCATGTGCTTTAGGAACTATTGCTGTCATGTCTCTTAAATTCATTTGCATCCTCTTTATTGTCTCCATTTAATAACACTTTGGGAGGATGATTGTACAATGGAATGACCTTTTTACGCATTATCAGAGTGCTTTAAGAAGTTAATATTCTACACACTGCCTTTGATAGAGTGCCTGTCCAGCACACACAAAGTCCTGCAGTTCAATCTTCAATGCCACATAAACCCAGCATGGTGATCTCTGCCTGTGATCTCAGTACTTAAGAGGTGGAAACAGGAGATCAGAAGTTCAAAGCTACTGAGGAGTGTTATATGAATCATGAAGTTGGTTTTTTTTTTTTGTTGTTGTTGTTGTTGTTGTTTTTCCTTTCTTTCTAAGGGCTCTTAACATTATAGTAAAGTTCTGACATCAGGACTTTTGGACAGGGTAGTAGTAGAGTACTACCTAGGTTGCCCAAGACCCTGAATTTCATCTCCAGCAAACCCCCACCAAAAAAGTACTAATGTTTCAGCAAGAAACTTAGAACAACATGACCCCAACTTCATGGAAAATGTGTAAGACTAGAGGAAAAAAATAACCTAGAACATTAGCAGTGGCTGTCCCTGGGCAGTGGGTTGTGGTTGTTTCCCTTTCTCCCATTTTTGTGCTGCTGTGCTCAGTGGAATGAAATGCTCAGTGATTTGCAAAGAAGGACATTTCTCACTTTATAAGACAAATTTGGCTTTTTTGATACATTTTACGTAGCATTTTTACTTCATATTTTTGAGACATCCCTTGAGCTTGACTAAATTCCTTGAGCTGTATAAATATTTGCATTCTGTTAAGAACACAGAAGCCAAACACAGCAGAAACCCAGTCTCCATTCTAAGATCTGCGTAGACACTAGGACTTGTGATTCTCTCGTTTTCTTCATTGTCAGACGAATTTGGGGGATCCAGATATCCAATAACAAAAGCCACCTCCTTTGAGAAGCTTCAAATTGAAATATGTATTGTATTGTCGTAGATATTTTTTAACCTTGAAAGCGTCTATTCATCTAAACTTTTTTTGGTTTTTAGAGGAACAGAAGGAAAATGAAAAGACAAAAGGTGTTGAGCAGCCAGCAGAGTCCATGAACCATCCTGTGGACAACGTTCCACAAGAGACGGCTGTGAAAACTGAGAACGAAGATGAAAAGGAACTTGTGAAACTGCCAGTCATTGTAAAGCTAGAAAAACCTTTGCCAGAAAGCGAGGAAAAAAAGGTGATCAGAGATGAAAGCGATTCCTTCAAGGAGAATGTCAAACCTGTCAAAGTAGAAGTGAAGGAATGCAAAGTGGACCCTAAAGATCTCAAAGGCAGCACGGAGAGGCTGGGGGCAGAGCCCGAGAGGCTGGAATTCAGTGGTAACATCAGATCCCAGGATATCGCAGAGAAATCTACTGAGGACACAGAGAAGCTTAAAAATGACCAGCAGGCCAAAATACCACTAAAAAAGCGTGAAATTAAGCTGAGTGATGATTTTGACAGTCCAGTCAAAGGACCTTTGTGTAAATCAGTTACTCCAACGAAAGAGTTTTTGAAAGATGAAATAAAACAAGAGGAAGAGACTTGTAAAAGAGTCTCTGCCATCAGTACTTTCAGTCATGAAGGGAAACAACTGGTAAATGGAGAAATTATGGATGAAAAAGTGACTCCAAATTTTAAGACTGAAGAAATGGAGGCCAAGTTTTATGATACAAGGGAAGATCCCTCTAGCAGCCCCTCTAAGGACAGGCATGCCGTGGAGGGAAATGGAACAGAGTGCTTAAATTCTGTTATAACAAGCACAAGGGTAAGTGAACTTGAGAAAGAACTGGTCCCTTTAGGGAAAGGTATAGACAGTTCAGCACCTGTCTTAGAGACCCATAGTCAGAAAGGAAAGTTAGAGGAGCCCGCTCCTCCAAACATGGACATTTCTCTTGAGACTTCTGAGATGGCAAAGGATCTCTCTGTAAAAACTGTTTTGTCTACCACCGAATCCTGTACTGCAAAAGCAGAAGAGAAGTCCTCCAAAAGTAAGAAAGATAACTTCACACCAGTCATAGAATGTCTTGAAAAGGTAGAGAAATCCAAAAAGACTTTTGTTGATAAAGACATACAGAGATTGAGTCCAATACCAGAAGAGGTTCCAAAGAGTACCCCAGAACTGGAAAATGCAGGCTCTTGTGAAGCAGCTGAAACTCCCCTACCGCCTAAAACTACTGGCCCCAGTGAGAAGGTAGCCTCAGAAAAAGAAGGGATAGAATGCCAATGCGTAAGTTCCACTGATGGTCAGCCCCTGGGAAATGCAAGCTCAGAAATTCTGAAAGAGGATTCTGATTCCTCCAAGGTGGAAGCAGCCAGTGTGGACAATGGCCAGACCTCTCCCATGGAGGACCTTTCTGAGACAAAGGGCTCTGTACAGAAGAGCAAATTTAAATATAAACTGGTTCCTGAAGAAGACACCACAGCTTCAGAAAATACCGAGATCACCTCTGAAAGGCAGAAAGAGGGCATCAAGCTAACTATTAGGATATCCAGTCGGAAGAAGAAGCCAGATTGTCCCCCACAGACTGTAGAATCTGAAAGCAAGCAAGAGAAGATAGAAAGGGAAGAAGAGAAAGCAAGTGTGGCTCGTACTTTACGGAGGTCTCCAAGAATATCTAGACCCACGGCCAAAGTAGCTGAGATCAGAGATCAGAAAGCTGAGAAGAAGAAAGGGGACGAAGAGGAAGAGGAGCCAGCAGCCCTGCAGAAGATAGACAAGAAAGAGCACCTGAAGAAAGCAGAGAAGGACACGGGCTCTAAGGCAAGCAAGGTAAAGCCGCCCCTGAGCCTTCAAGTTTGTTTAAATTACATTTATTTATTTGTCTCAGCCTCTCTCTCTCTCTCTCTCTCTCTCTCTCTCTCTCTCTCTCTCTCTCTCTCTCTCTCTCGGTTGTCAGACTTGGCAGCAAACACCTTTACCTGTTGAATCATCTTGCTGGTCCCTACATTTTCAGATTTTAGAATTACTTTGTGTGTGTGTGTGTGTGTGTGTGTGTGTGTGTGTGTGTGT